CCCAAAATTTAAAAAAAAAAAAAAAAAAAAAAAAAAAAATATCACACGTGCAGCTGAGCTGCACAGAAGATTTTTGGATATCTTGGTGCACAGGGCTCTAGGACCAGCCCCAGTGTGGTCCTAGGGCTGGGTTCCACACAGTCTCAGATACCAACTGGCAGTGCAGGGAGACCCCAGGACCTCAATCCCAAGCACTCCCTATGCTTGACAAGTGCTAATGGTGCAATTTGGTTCTGAACCTCAATCTCAAAAATCTGGCCTTGTGCATGGCCATACACGGCAGAAGGCACAATTCTGGTATCAGGGATTAGATCCCATTGCACCATTACATGAAATGTGCTGGGACCTTACCTGTGCTAGAAGTAGGAAATGGAAAGTAGCAATCAGAGGACTGCTCCTGGGTGCCTTGAAATTCACAAGAGCCAGTTTCATGGTTGCTATTCCACTCTTTTAAAGCTTTTCAGAGCATCTCTAAAGTTGGCTACTCAAAGCCTTGAAAATGAAGGGAGTTGGTCAACTTTGTGGCCGTTAATACAACTCTGACAGCGCTATAAGCTTTATTCAGTATGTATGAAGACTTGTCAGTGCTATATACCTAGTGAACATGGCTTATGTTACATTCATCTAAGTGCACAGACTTTTTTAATCCTGGGCTTTCTGTTTAGACAGGGTATCCTGTATAACCAAAAAACAACCCACCTAGTTTCGTAGCATAGTAGGGGCATTTGTGCAGGTTTCCTTTCCCATCATGTACAGGGAGGCCTCCATCTTGGGCTTCTTCTGTTAGCAGTGCACCGATCTTGTCCAATTCATCAAACACCTGCAGGGGAAAAATTAAGCCCCAACATGAGCTCCCAAAAATTACTCAAATGAGGGGCCGCTCCAGAGAAGGAGAAGGATCTTGCACATAGTGGATCTCGGTTTCCAGGTAAAGGAGCTCAGATCACAAAGTAAAAAGCTATGGGCTACCATTTTCACAAGTGACTAAACTGCATGCCCACTTCACTAAGCACCCACTCTCTTATAAGTTGCACCCTAAGACGACAACCAAAAAAAAAATCACTAAATCACTTCTGAGCATCTTGCCTGGTGCTTTGTCAATTTAACTGGGCCCTGTCCACTGTACATCCCACCAGCAACAGATTCTTCAGCTGAGATTCACTGTGCTCAAGACCATCAAACCACAGTGCACACTTGCTTGTCTCCTATAAGCTGGGTTAGCCCAGCAAGGCTAATCATATAATCCAATCACTTTTCCTCCTGAAATCAGTGGCCCCAGCAGCACAGCTGGCAAACAGGCCTGCTGCCAGCCAACAGCCATTTTCAAATCAGAGCAAAAAACCCAACTGCAGCACCAGAGTTTACTTTTAGCTCAATACTGAGTGAACTGCCGGATTCAAGGTACAACGTTAGGCACTTTGATGCTGTCTGGCATTTGACATTCCCTTGATGCTCCATTGAAATGGCACTATAATTGCTCATTAAGCAGTTTAGCTGTCAACATGGGCAGACCCCCCCTAACTAACAGCACCTACAACTGTTGCCTACATGCCACTGAGATTCATGCAGACTGATGGGCAGGTCCGGCCACTTCCTACAAAGCTGCAGGGAGCAGTGACCTTGGAATTTCACAGGCTCTACTTTACCAGGTTTCTAGACCTCTTTCACTGAAACTGGATCCTACACTTAATTCCCTAGAGGGTGGGAAAAAAAATCCTGTTTAACCTCTTCCCCTGTCTTTCCAAAGCCACATAAGTGCTGAAGGTTATTCCCCTCTTTTTGGTGCAACAAGTAGAATCATTCACACAAGGACACATCCCCGTGGCTGATTCTATAGAGCCGTGTATGGACCTAGACCCTTATTCCTTGATAAGCTTAGAACAAACTCTAAAGCCTACTGAATAATAGCCAGGTTTAGAAGTCCCTAAAAAGAAAAAGCACCAGTTGTCCTCTAGTATAGCAGTTCTCAACCTTTTTCCTACCAGAACCTATTTGCAAAGATCCATGGCCTGTCCTGACCCACATCCCCCTGGCCCTGCCAGTGCCCGACCCCCAGTCTCCTGCCCCCGCCGCCACACTGGCATCCCTTACTCCTGGCCTGCAGCTCCCTGCTCCTCCCAGAGGAGTCCCCAGCTGCCCCTGTCATGTCCTGCTCAGGCCAGAGCATGGTGGCTGCAGTGGCTCTAGCTTATGTGGGCAGCAGTGGAGTGAGTCCAGCCTCAGCATGGGCTGGAGGGAGGAGAGGCCTGTGGAACCCTCCCCTGCCCTGACCTGGGGCTGCCCCGCTGCACCAGGCAGCCTAGTCATGGCCCCTCCCACCCCCTGAGCAGCATCTCCCAGCCACCCCACCTCCACGAGCATGGGTACCAGCCCTGGTGCTGCCAGGCCAGGCATGCAGCTCTCCCCTGCCCCCTACCCCCACTGGAAGGGGCAGGCACCTTCCTGCCACCCCTCTGCCCTACCACAGCTCTTGACCCTTTGAAATATTCTTGACCCACTCTTCGGTTGTAACCCATGGGTTGAGAAATGCTGCTCAAGTACATCACACCATGGCTGCAGATATTACCATTTTTACTTCCCTATTGTTTTTAAAATGATGTGTCTATTTTGTTTATTCCCAGGGAGGGTGAGTGTCAGCTGGAAGGAGAGGGGAGAAAGGGTGCTCTTTTTACAGTTTCTTCAGAGCTGGCTGGACCATAGGAATGTAACTGCCTCTTTGCAAACTCTTTCCTGCTTGATGCAAGTCCAGTGATGTGTGTTGTTTCTGTTATGAGGTTTCACTGAAGGCAAAACACCTGCACAGCACCATGCATGTTTTGGGAGTTACAATCATAGGACTAAAAGGTCAGAGCCCCAGGTAAGATACTGCAGGGCTGAGATTCTCTCCCATACAACTGCAAATGCTGCTTTCAGAATTCCCAGGCTCCTCTGCATAATCTAGAGAAGGAATGGGGCACATCCTAGTAGCCAAGTCAAAATGGCCTTGAGCATTAAGTTACACGGAGCTCTGCTGCTCTGGATGGAAAAGTTGTTCCTAAACTGCTTCCTGCCAGACATGTCTGTGGGTGCTCTCAGCCTCCTGTAAATGAATTCCCCCATGAGTGACTGGTGCCTCCTCAATCTGGGGGGGCACCTGTAGAAGCCACCGCCAGTGGAGGCCCTGTCAGGAGGGGCACCAGCCATACTGATAGCATCAGTGACAGCAGCAGGAGAGAATAGGCCTCCTTTGAACCAGGAGGAAAGCAAATTAGAACTCCAGCAGCATCTGCTGTTTTAGCCCCCAGCTCCCCAGTCCAGCAACTCCAGAGTGCTGCCTCACCCCCTCCTTTTTAATTTTAATAGTAATGTTGGATAAAATAAAACCAGAAAGCTCACGTCATGATTACAGTTCCACTGTGCTCTGAGTCGACCACTGTATTAGATAGGAATCTCACCTTTACCAGTGGCAGGTGAGGGTGCAATACCTTGCAGTTGTGTGACAGGGTTAATTGGGTAGTTTTAGGAGTAAGCTAGACAAGGATTTGTCTGGGATGATCTGGATAGGGATGATTCTGCCTCAAGCAGGCGGTTAGACTAGATAACCTCCAGAGGTCCCTTCCAGCCCTGCTTCTCTGTGATTCCACAATTCATGCAGCAGTGGACAAGGTTTCAATAGTACAGGCAAGAACGTATCACCTAAGTGGAACAAAGCTGCTGGGAGATTTAGCCTCAGAGTTGCACTTTCACTGCAGAGGGAAGCCAGCTACACCTTTGCTTTGTCTACACAAATTAAGATGGTTCTGGTTTTCTTGCCCAGCTGACAACTCAGAGGTTAGGAGCCTTTGAATTAACTGAGTACACTGTATATCAGACACTTCCTTCACACTTCAGCATCAGAACAGAGGGCTGGCTGCCTCTAAATACAGATATCACAATAGCTCTCAGCAGCTCCAGGCAGGATTTGGATCCAATTGTGGTGCAAGCTGTACATATGAGTAGATACATTAGGCCTAGTCTTTATTTCCTGTGCAAAGAATATACAAGCTTGGCTCTACTTCTCCTCCTCTGAGTTGCCCTACTCCTGGATTTAGCCAGTGACCTTAGTTCTACACCATCTAATAAAGAAAAAAAGCCTCCATGAATCTCCGAACTAGAAGATGAAAGCAGCACAGCCTTATTAAGCATAGGCAGATGCTCGGTACCTGCATGTTGAATTTAAATGCTGCATTGGCTTCCTCCACAATCTTCTCCTTGGTTTTCTTGTCCAAGTCCACGGCATTCATTCTTGCCCTGTAGAACTGCTTGAACTGCTGTGCATTGGAAATATTCTCAAATACATAGAACTGGATCCCTTCCCCAGAGCTGGGTAGCTTTAGGGCCCTCTGGGCCACCTTTTTCAGCACCTGCCCCCCTGACAGGTCCCCCATGTAACGTGTGTAAGCATGGGCTACCAGCAGCTCTGGCTCATGCTGCCCAACTTGATGGATTCTATCTATATAACACTTGGTTGCCTCTGAACACTGTATCTTCTCTTTCCAGTCTTCTCCATAAAAATATTCCAAGTCTTTAGCCAACTCTTCTTTTCGATGAAGTTCCAGAGGGAAGTAGAGAGGTGCAAATGCTGGATGGTCCTTGTTGTTGTCCATTTCTTCTTCTAGGGCAGAGTAGGTGAAGTAGAGTGCTACAGTTGCTAGCTAGAGGCAAAAGCATAAAACATACATGAGAGATCAATTGCTGGAAAAAATGTCTATTAACGTAAAGAACCATGCCTGATGGCAAATACTTCCCATATGGACTTGGCCTTTCCCAGCATATGACCCATTAGGCTACTCTTGAAGACAAATGGTAGAAACCCCACTGCTTGGGACACACCAGGACAAAACTATTCTTGGATTCTCCTGGCACGTGATGCAGTGGTACTGTAATACCACATAGGAGTCTATTAGCCTTTTTTGACCTAGCATTCTCACCTTGGCTACAACCCTACCCATATAACATCATACCAGCCAATTTTCTTATTGGGACTTAAGAGAATGTCTTCAATTTGGCATGAAGCTTCCAACTCTTTTCAACTGGACCACACCTTTGCTAATGGAGTAAGAGTGGGAAAGTGCAAACCTTAAAGAGCTCCTTCTTGATCTGCCCTTTCAGGAAGTCTTTGACAAACTGAGTGTTCTCTGCACGATCATGGGACTCCTTGGTCCCCTCCTTTAGCAGCTCTGAGAGATCAGTGGGACTGTGAAGAACAGAAAAAACACATGGGCGTTAGACCTGGACCATGCCCTAGGAAGACTGTAAGGCTCTTAGATGTACCCCAAGAACATCTGCACTATAACAGACCATATGTTAGAGCATGGTTGGCCATTTTTGTGCTTCAAACAGGTCCTATATTAGGTCAGTAGAAGCGATGAAATCACTGCTTGACACTCCGTGGTACCCATAACTAAAACACATTTTATCCCACTGGCATTAATTAACACCCCTCTCAGGACAGTTATCACCTAGCTTGGAGTACAGCCCCCAGGTTCTAGAAGCACTGGGTGTTCAGCTAGCCATTTCCCCTATTGTGTTTTGTATGGATGTGATGGCCATGATATTTCAGCACTGCTAAATGATAAAGCCTGAGAAGAAGAGCAAAACAGAATGCATCCAGTCATAGCTTTACAGAAGATTGCCAAGCACACAGCCAGAGAAAGTGGAGCAGTACATCCAGCAAACCCAGAGCTGCCATACCTAACAGGAAAGTTCAACTGGCATTGCCTGTTCAAAAGTCAAGCATGAAGATGAAACCAGCTCATAGAGGATGCTATTTATACCCCTAGGCCAGAATGGTACAAATTCACATTCTAACAAATTTCCTTTTTTCTCCACCAATAACTGCACTTATTCCCAGAAAAAGATCCTAATAGGATATCTAGTTTTCAAGAATCCAAATAATTTTCATTTCAGAATTTAAAAATAGCAATACCTGTTAAAAACTGAAAGACTTCATTGAAACGGCTTAGGAAAGTCATCATAAAGAATTAAAAAGTTCTTTTTGGGACAAGAGAATTTGCTAATGATTTAAGTCATGTATTACTTGCAGCTACAGAAGCAACATGGCTACTAACCATTCCACTGAACATATTTCAAATGAAATATGGTTAGTGAAATAGAGCCAGCCTTAAAGCACAAAGCAGCATCAGCGGAAAGAACTTACTCAATTCCTACATGTCATTCAGTTTGCTCTTCCTAGAGAGACCATGAACAAGGCAGGCAATTATGGTGACACTTCTGTCACAACTGCTCCAAGGGGTAGAACAGCCTCCAGTTGGACTTGGCTGTGGCTTTTCTGAGTGGAATAAGAAATAATAAATAACCTAGAAATGATAGATTCCTTGATGTATTTCAGGCCCCTGATTTATCAGCTCAAGATGTGGTCAAAAGGGAGTGGGGTCCTATGCAAAACTGGTTCAATTCAACCTTGAAGGTCCAACGTCTTGCCATTCATTAGTAGGGCCTCAAGAAAAAAATTGGGATTTTGTGGACTGCACGGATACTGTGAAATTAGCCCCACGCTGCTATTTTTAAGCGTTGTGAGCCTGTGCCAGAAAAACGTGCAAAAGCGCAAGTTTCTCTTTGCAGACCGGCAGCGTTCCAGCCTGCAAAGGGAAACCTAGGCTTTCACAGCATTCCAGCCTTGCCTGTTGGGGGCACAGCCAGGATGCAACCAGATGAAGCTAAGTGTATAGGGAGGAGGAGGGGAAGAGGTTTTGGAGGACCAGGGCATGTGTTGCCTGCCATAGGTGGCAGAATGCCAGGGCTAGCAGGACTTAGCCCCCCAAAAACTTTTCACAGCCCCTAACAACAGCACCAGCACCACCACACTGCCATTCCACAGCACCTAGCAGTGCTTTGGTGCACTGCTGCCACTCTGCCACTGCTTACAGTCACAGCACACACCAGCCCTACAACAGACCCGTGGGAGGAAGGGGTAGGGGTCAGGTGGGGCTGAGGCCCCTGCAAATATTTTCCCCCACTGCTTGGTGCCTGCCACATGTGGCGCATGCACAGGTAAAGTATAATTTTTCATGGAATATTCACAGAACTGCCAGGACCCATTTGCCGAGATCAGTGGTAGTTCCGTGAAAAATTATACTTTACCCACGCATGTGCTGCAAAGTTTCCAAAATAAATCCATGAGTTCGTCAGGGCCCTATTCATTAGGGCAGAAACATGCTAATATACAGACATCTAGGAGGCCTCTTTCCCAGTAGCATAAGACTTGCTCATGCATTAGTACACCATGAGATCTTGGATTTTAGTAGCCATGACACTTTATCCCTAAGCTTATTTTTTAAGAGTTCCAGAAGTTTTTCTTTTGCTTTCAAGGCCTGTAACTAGTCTTTTAAGAAGGCTGCTAGCTCTCTGGGTGTAATGATATTAGAAATATGTAAGTGTTTACTTATTTTAATGGCAGAAATAATACCTGCTGGTGTGATGTATAAAGCTGTTCTAGGTAATATTGTTTTTGCAATGACCTGCATAATTGACTAATGGATAATGTCAAAAGTTCATTCATCTCATGCCAATTAAACCATACCACTCACTCTATGATGTGCTCAATATAATTAGCATTTCTCTGCTTAGAACTAAATCACAGGCAGCTCTGAAGCCATAAAACCAATACACTATTTGTTGTTAATAAAAATAACAGACAAGTTAAAACGAACATAGAGTGAAATGTTTACCAAAACTAATGCAAGTTTCACAGGATGAATCTCTTAATTCAGGTTCGTAAGTCCCTAAGTCCCATTCTTGCCTTGGCAAACGGCAGCAGCAAACTTACCCTCCTCCTCTCCTCCCATTTCCCTATATACAAGGAAGTGTGAAACCTTAAACTTTCCAAGTTGATTTCAGGAGAAAGAATAAATGGCAGGATGTATTCAAGTGTAACATGGAACATACTCCAAACCATCAGATTCTAAGAGGAAAGACCAGAGCACCCTACTGTAAAATGATAGGTAGAAACACTAATTATACTCCAGGAGATTCAATACCTTCTTTCCTACACATTACAAGAGGTGAAGTGGGTACCCCAAGACAAGCAATGAGACATTCACACTCATCATCAGTAAAGAACTAGATGGCTCAAGGAATCAGTAATGTTGTCTAGCCAGTAGGCTTCCTGTCGAATCAGTCAGCCAGTCACAGCAAATCACATTCTGCAGCTCCTCCTGTGACTCAGTCTCCCTACCTGTCAAATAGTGTGACACTGCCTACATGAGAATTTGAGCTATTTACCCCATAAGCAGCACTGTACTAAGGCAGCTATACTAATTCCTGTCCCAGAGGTGGCATGTCTAGAGCAGCACAGTAGTATCTCAGCAGAATGCTGTGGGAAAATTTGGGGAGCTGAAACCATTCCTCTTCTCTAGTCCTGGCCATTGCAGCCTAACTGCACCGTGCCCAAACACCAGTTGGGAAACTGAAGGAGGAGATAGCTGTGTGCACCCCAGGGAGACAAGTTGTATTTGAGCTGTGAATACAGCATTCTGCCCAAGTTCTCATTCTGGCCATTCACTGATATCTCTTCTCCTAATGGGCTTGGAAGGAGAAGAATAGGATAAAAACATGCCCACATTCCAGACTTGCCTGCAGAACTGGAGGAAAGAGGACAGCAATATCATGTCTGTCTTTGACCTGATCACCTGAATTTCCTGCTAGGAAATGTATAGTTCTGGTTGAACAGCTAACTGTTCACATTTCCCAAGAGGGCCCATAGGACTCACCTAACATCATTTTCTTCTTCCATTTCTTCATAGTGCAACCCTTCTGCTTCATCTATTCCCTCTGAAGTCTCCATTACATCAGACAACATCACCACACAGCCCCAGTCTGTCCACCGTTGTCCTCAACTCTGGCCCTGTTTGAAAACAAGCAGCATCTGTCAATGCAGCTATTCCAGCAATATTTTAGTGAATAAAGAACTGATGCAACACCTTAATACACAGGACGCTTCCTAAACCATGAGGAGTAGGATAAAAGAAAGGCACTAAAGGCTGTAGGTCTTTGAGCTGGACAAGTTTTAACTCAGATACTGGCAGGGATAACTGACAGGCCTGCTGTATATGTTGAGTGGACAGTCTCACTGTGTCCACTCAACACATACAGCATTACCAGTTAATGATCCAGTTGCATCTTAGACTACAAGAAGTCCCTGCAGCTCTAAGCAAAGTAACTGACAGCCTCAGCTCGGAGCCTCACATGCTGTATTAGAAGCAGGAAGCACGCTGATAACCTGGCAGCCTTGGGTACAGAAGAAACCAATGATTCATTGTGCAACCCAAGTCATTTTCCCTCTCAGGGACAGATGTCAAATGAACAAAAAGAGAAGCCTGAAATATTAACTGCCTCTATACCACTGTGAGCAAAACAATTTCCCCCCCATTAGGATTGCCAAGCCTCTAATCCAAAGGCAGAAAAGTTAGATGCAGAGTGGAGAAAATGACAAGGCAAGGAGGTGAACCCCTCTCCTTCAGAGCTTCTCGGGCAACTTTTAATTACAGGGGCTTGGACTGCAATCTGCTTGTTCACCCCATGTGCCAATAGGTTCCAGCAGCAACACGCAGCATCTCTTCCTCACAACAGCCAG